CTACAGATGCTGAAACGAGACAAGGACCCTTACCCAGAGCCAACAAGCAGGTAGCACTCTGAATTTGGTTTTCTACCCTACTAAAGTGTGAAAGTGTGGCATTGCCGCTTAATGAGGTAAACTGCAACGTCAGTGTGGGCCATCAAGGCCGGCAGTTCTAACTCACCAGCTGCTCCTTGGAAACCCTGTACAGGGTCGCTATGAGTTGGTTTCCGACTCAATGGCACGTAACAACAATAACAACAACAAAGTGTGAAAGCAAACATTTCTGATTCTTAAGCCATCCATTTATGGCATTTCTGTTATAATAGCATCAGACACTAAGACACCTACCTGTAACTCAGTCCTTGGATCAGCTTACTTCCCAGTCGGTCCTGGATCATCTGAATAGTTCCTTGTAAGAGGTTTTTGGCTGCTGAATCTCCAACAGCTATAGCAACAATTCGCCCTGGATCCTGGACTCTCAAAAATTCCTGTAGTCGCCTGCTCTCATTTTGGTATTCATGAGTATCAAACCTCACACTTTCCAAAATTTTGGCAGTGTCTTGGTCAAAGACTCTCACATTGAGGCCCCGTGAAAAGTCCTTCATAAAATAATAGGACCCAAACATCAAGCCTGAGGAATGCAGAGTCCTGGCCAACAACGTCCACGATGTCTTCTGTGCTCCGTGCAACTCCAATGTCCCGCCAGCTTCCACACCAATAAATTTTTTGCCAAATGTTGGCATACTTTCACCTTCCTCTGACTTGCCGTACAAGGCAATTGTTGCTTTGGATTTATAGCGGCATTTTTCTGCTCCAATATGAAGCGCCCCACCATCCTTGATCAGGATGTAACGAGTCCTCAAAGTAATATTTCTGGATCCATCTTTATCATCCCCAAATACAAGTAGTCCTGCAGGGAACCACACTATTATAAGTCAACTTCTAAAACATCTCTCTGATAAAAATAGATTTCTCTTTAAGATGGGGAAAAAATTAATCGACTGTCTACTGAGAAAATCGAACGGGTTACCAACACATTGCAAAGAAGAAAAACAGGCAATTCCCTAGCTCAGTATATTTAAAAATATTAAAAAAGGTTATGTGTATGAATTTCAATCCACCCAAATCACAGGCTTTGAAATTCTTTTACTTTTCACTTTAGATATTTCCCAATCTTACTAAGCAGAAATGAAGCTTGTTTTCTTATTTCAACAATTTAAATTTTTTCTTTCTTACTTGAGCCAACTACTTCTGCAGACTCAGGGATATTAAGAAGAAATCAAGTCTAGGAATATGGTGTAAGAACTACAAGTGGATTATTCCCTTATTCAATCTGAAGTGAATTTTTCTATTCACTTTGGTGATAAAATTATTTCTAAAAAATATCTCTAAAAGTGTTCAAATCTGAATCTCATTTTTACATGTCAGCCCAAGCTAACTCTCTTGTCACTCCTCCACCGGTTGTAAAAAAGATCTAGCTGAGCAATATCACCTTTGTAGACATGTTTCCTTACCTATGTATCAAAGGTCTTGCTGTGAATGATTTCTAAGGCATTTCTTTGTGTTCTCACAAACTCTATGATTCTAACCTTGGAATTTTTCTTATCTTCAGTTTCACATCTCCACATCCTAAATGTTCTCAGTTAAAAGAACAGTTTTCTACAAAAAGAGCATTAAGTTTCTTCCAAGTAAAAGAAACACCTGGAAGTCTGTACAGGTAAGAGCAGTACATACCTCCATTCTGAATGACTATTGAGTTCACTGTGACATCTGAGGTCAGACGGAACATATCGCCCTCCTTGATAACAACTTGTGTTATAGAATCTTGTCCTGGATCCCAGTTCCTGAGTTGTGGGTTTTGATCTGGGCAATTCTCTACAATACAGTACCAACATTGACATCCATCAGAGCCAATTAAATGCAAGAATGCCTTTGTCAAAATCCAAACACAACCATCACTTAAGATCTTGAGATCTGCAAGTAATGTGTTAACATATTTTGATTTCCTGCCATTTAAATAGAAATCCCACTCTCTC